CCGCGGCGGGGTGTCTCCCGTGGAGAATCCGGCCCCGATTCCCCATGGGAGACCATCCGCCGCGGACGAGGCCCTCGGGGAGCCCTCCAACGGGCCGTGTCCGCGGCGGGGTGTCTCCCGTGGAGAATCTGGCCGCGATTCCCCACGGGAGACCATCCGCCGCGGACGGGGCCCTCGGGGGGCCCTCCAACGGGCCGCGTCCGCGGCGGTGTGTCTGCCGTGGAGAATCTGGCACCGATTCCCTACGCGAGACCATCCGCCGTGGACGGGGGCCTCGGGGCTCTCCGGGAACCACCCCACATGCTCTGTCCGCGGCGGGGGGTCTCCCGTGGAGAATCTGGCGCCGATTCCCCACGAGAGACCATCCGCCGCGGACGGAGCGTTCGGGGCCGTCGGGGGGGCACCCAAAATGCTATTTCCGCGGCGGGGGACCTCCCGAGAGAAGCCTCAAAGGGCCCGACACCATGCGAAACGGGACCACCCGGGGCGGGTTTTCGGGGGCCCGACACCATGCCAAACGGGACCTCTCGGGATCAGGTTTTCGGGGCGTGGCACCATGCCAAACTCCGGGGGCGGCGCTCATGGGCCCGACACCATGCCAAACGGGACCTCCGGCGAGAAGCGCCCAGGGGCCCGAACGGACCCTGTCCGCGGCGGGGTGTCTCCCGTGGAGAATCTGGCTCCGATTCTCCACGGGAGACCATCCGCCGCGGACGGGGCCCTCGGCGGGCCCTCCAACGGGCCGCGTCCGCGGCGGGGTGTCTCCCGTGGAGAATCTGGCCCCGATTCCCCACGGGAGACCATCCGCCGTGGACGGGGGCTTCGTTGCTCCTCTCCAGGAACCACCCGACATGCTCTGTCCGCGGCGGGGGGTCTCCCGTGGAGAATCTGGCCCCGATTCCCCACGGGAGACCATCCGCCGCGGACGGAGCGTTCGGGGTCGTCGGGGGGCCACCCCAAATGCTCTGTCCGCGGCGGGGGACCTCCCGAGAGAAGCCTCAAAGGGCCCGACACCATGCGAAACGAGACCTCCCGGGGCGGGTTTTCGGGGGCCCGACACCATGCCAAACGGCATCTCCGGGGGAGGCGCTCATGGGCCCGACACCGTGCCAAACAGGACCTCCGGAGAGAAGCGCCCATGGGCCCGAACGGACCCTGTCCGCGGCGGGGTGTCTCCCGTGGAGAATCTGGCCCCGATTCCCCACGGGAGACCATCTGCCGCGGACGGTGGGGGGTCACAAAAACAGAGGGTCCAAGGGGTGGGGATGCCGGGGCATGGGAGGGGCATGGGAGGGGCATGGAGGGGGGTGTTGTTCGAGTTTGGGCGAGAAATCGCGGGGGTGGGGGGTCCCAAAAAGAGAGGGTCCAGGGTCCAAGGGGTGGGGATGCCGGGGCATGGGAGGGGCATGGAGGGGGGTGTTGGTCGAGTTTGGGCGAGAAATCGCGGGGTGGGGGGCCCCAGAAACAGAGGGTCCAAGGGGTGGAGATGCCGGGGCATGGGAAGGGCATGGAGGGGGGGTGTTGGTCGAGTTTGGGCGAGAAATCGCGGGGTGGGGGGTCCCAAAAACAGAGGGTCCAAGAGGTGGAGATGCCGGGGCATGGAGGAGGGGCATGGAGGGGGGTGTTGGTCGAGTTTG